AATTATTAAAATATTTAAATAGTCCATCATCATCTTAAACTAGAAAAGACTTTTTTGATGGTTCAAATCTATTCTTGTGCATTTTTTTTGGAAATTAATAGAAAATAATAGAAAATGTATAACAAAATAAATCTAATATGATCAATTTATTAACTAGCACTTTATCTAGTTCATGATCAATTTCTTACTTCTTTTTTTTTTTTTGATCATTAAAAAATTAGGGGAAGACGGATAACAATTTCTTATCTTCTTTTTTTTGAACATGCAATTTCTTATCTTCTTTGAACCCATCATGAAGCTTGATTTCAATAGATACCTTAATGGCCCAAACGTGAGCAGTTTACCTTTTTCTTTATTTATCTTTTTGTTCTCTCTGCTATCTTTTCCTCATTTTTTAAGTATGTATATTTCTTTGTTAAACATGGCCCATTTCGTGTAGCGCGCACTTACAAAGACTTTTTTTTTTCTTTTTTCTTACTCTATTTTATTATTTTATTTTTCTCATAATTGTAATGGTTTTATTGTATGTAGACTCGTTTTATAAGACTTGATTAATTACTACATTCCCATTTGCACCAAAAAAAAAAAAAAAAAGAAAAACTGACCCAATATCAAGTCCACTTTACTCTTATCATGTAATTTTTTTTAAAAAGCAAAAGTGATATTTATTGAAACAGAGTACAAGGGGTACCCTAAACCTGTAAATATCTCAATTTGAAAAGTAAAGAGATAGAGAAAAAGCTCTTCCGTTTGGTGTCGATACCTATATTATGTGTCGACACCATGTCCGTGTCGACACATTTGGCCCAGCTCTTCCTTCTGGTGTCGACACCCGAATAAAGTGTCGACACCACGTCCATGTCGGGATTCAGAAATGCTCAGCCCTTCCAGAATGCCATAACCTCCCTTCTTGATATATTTGGCTCTGGAGTTCCTATGCTGTATTAACTCTTCAATTTTATGCCATTTGTCATCTTTTTTTCTTGCTGCAGTTCACCCTCATACATTCAGTCGGGTTTTATATCCAATCGGAGAGAGAAAAAAAACAACCTCCCCGTCTGCCTTTTAACCAATGGAAGGCACGTAGTTGGATTAACTCAAATAACCTTCCTTCCTTCTGTGCTTTCCCTGTGAATATTTGCTCGTTCCTAGCCAACCAAATTGTCCACACCATAGCAAACCAAATGCATTCCCAGCCTTCTTTCACCGCCTCTATTTTGAGTAAGAAGCTGTGTTGCTCAAACACTCCCCAGCAATCTCTATCAAGTGCAGTACAGAGACCCCACCACTAGTTACATGCAGACCATAAGTTGTATGCTAGTTTGCAATGGATAAAAAGGTGGGCGGAATCCTCCTCTTCCACTTTGCAAAAAACACATTTACTTTCTGCAGGGTCCTGAATGACGCCCCTTCTTAGCAAGTTTCCTCTTGTTGGTATCTTATCTTGGATTAATTGCCATGAGAATGTTGCAATCTTGCTTGGCACAATTGGGTTCCAAGTCCTTTTGTGAATTGAGTGTCGTTGCTCTCCGTCTGGCTCCATAGTGAGTACTTTGTAAGCTGATCTTGTAGAATATTTCCCATCTTTGCTATGGGTCCATAATCGCAGATCACTTTTTCCTTTTTCCATCGGGGCATCTTGGATATCTTTGTAGAGTTCAGCGACTTGTTGCTCTTCCCAGCTGTATAATTCCCTTCTCCATTTTATATCCCACTTCCATTTGTCACTGCACCAATCTCCCATTTGTGAAATCTTATTGTCTTTCCCTGTAGATAACATATAAAGTCTGGGATATTTATTAGCAAAGCAGGGATCCCCGCACCAAGGATCCCCGCACCAATTATCCCACCAAAAACTTATTCCTTCTCCCCCTCATACTCTTAATTTGAACCCTTTAACCAACCATCCCTCCCTTTCTCTATCTGCACTATTTAATCTACAAATGTCCTTCCACCATGTAGAACCCGAGCCAACCCCTTCCCTTAACCAATTGAAGCTATGTTCCCCTCCTATTCCATACTTCTCACTTATAACTTCCTTCCACAATCTACCCTCTTCCTCTATTACTCGCCCCCACCACTTTCCCAATAATGCTAAGTTAAATTTCCTTAGATTTTTCACTCCCAAGCCGCCATTTTCTTTTTCCTTACATACCTTCTTCCAGCTCACCCATCTAATTTTTTTCCCCTTCTCAGCCCCTCCCCACAGGAAACATCTTCTAATTTTATCTAAGGCAAGAATCGTACCTGATGGGATCCGGTACATCGACATCCAGAATACGGGCAAGCTAGACAGCACTGAGTTAATAAGAGTTATCTTTCCACTAAGAGATAAGAATCGGCCTTTCCATGTAGACAATTTTTTTGAGAAAACATCCACCAATGGCTTCCACAAATGCAGCTTTCTATGACTTCCACCAATAGGGACTCCAAGGTATTTAAATGGGAAATTACCTTTTCTGCAGCATAACACCCATGCCATTTTCTCAAGCCACTCCTCATTCACCGCAATACCCAGGAGTTGACTTTTGTTGAAATTAACCTTCAAGCCCGAAACAAGCTCAAATGATCTCATAATGCCTTTCATTGCCCAGACATTTTGCTCCGTTGTAGGGCCAAAAAGTATTGTATCGTCTGCAAATTGTAGGTGTGATACCTTGAATCCTTTGGATCCTACCTCCACACCCTCCAGTAGTCCCTTCTGCACAGCCATGGTAATCATCCCATTTAATCCCTCTGCAACAATCAAGAACAAAAAAGGGGATAGGGGATCTCCCTGTCTAAGGCCATGGCTGATATTGAACTATCTAGTAGGGCTGCCATTCACCAACACTGAAACTTGGCTAGTTCTCAAGCACTCCATGATCCACCTTCTCCAAGTAGCGCAGAACCCCAGCTTTTGCATCATATAATCAAGGAACTTCCAACACACTTTGTCATAAGCCTTCTCGAAATCAATCTTAAATAGGAAGCTCTTCCTTTTCTTTTTCTTCGCTTCGTCTACTACCTCATTTGCAATCACAACCCCATCCATTAGTTGTCTTCCACTTATGAATGCCATTTGCTGCTTGCCAATCACTTGATCAAGTACTTTTTTGAGTCGATTGGCTAATAGTTTGGCAAAGATCTTGTACACAGCACCAATAAGGGATATGAGCCTGTATTCTTCTATCATCTGTGGATTATTCACTTTTGGCACCAAGACAATAAATGAGGAATTCAGCCCTCTGACCAGCTTTCCTTTTTCTTGAAACTCCTTTATGAATCCTATCACATCTCCTTTGATTGTCTCCCACTCCCTTCTAACAAATCTAAAATTAAACCGTCTGGACCCGGTGCTTTTGAGCATTCACAATCCCATACTGCTGCTTTGATCTCATCTTCTGAAAATGGAGCTACAAGTGATGCATTTTCTTGCTCTGTTATCTGTTGAAAACTGATGCCCTCCAGTTTTGGTCTTTCGCAGTTCTCCTCTTTGAACATGTTTTCAAAGAAATTTGCAATTTCTTCTTTCATTATGGTAGGCTCAACCAGTTGAGAATCTTTGATTTGTATGCTGTTCATTTCTGTGATTCTCCATTTGCCTTTGACACAATTGTGGAAGAACTTGGTGTTTGCATCCCCATTAACCAACCAGGTTTTCCTTGACTTCTGTTGTGCCATTCTCTCTTTGGTATTCATATTTTTCCATATATCTAGGAGTGCCTCCTTTCTTTTGTTAATTTCCTCTTTCGTGAGTTGGCCTTGTTCACCCTTCAAATCAAGTTGTTCAATCACCACTCTAGAAGAATTTATTTTGGCATCCACTTGTTCAACAAAATTTCTACTCCATTCCCGTAGGGCATTTTTAGTTGCCTTCAGCTTTTCTTTTAGCTTGAATCCTGCCCACCCTTGGGTTTTTTCATTATTCCAAACCTCCGAAATCAACTCTCTACACCCTTGGTCATCGAGCCAAGCATCAAAGAACTTGAATGGCTTAGGTCCCCAATTTGTTTTATTGACTTTCAGCATTATTGGACAATGGTCTGACACTGTTCTGGTTAATCCCCATTGTTTAGTGTCGCACCATTTTGAAAGCCATCCTTCAGACAATAAGAATCTATCAATTCTACTCATTTGATTCCCATTTGAGTGGTACCAGGTGAACTTCCTACCGGCAAGGGGAAGGTCAATCAACTTAGTTTCTTGAATAAAACAATCAAACTCTCTCATTTCAGTTGGCACACTTCTACATCCCCACCTTTCCTCAATTCTCCGAATAGCATTAAAATCCCCCACAACACACCACATACTCCCCCCTCCTGTCACCATATTCTTCAATTCCGTCCACAATGCTCTTTTATTCGTTATTTGGCAAGGTGAATACACATTAATTATGCACACAGGGACCTCCTCTGTTCCCCACACCCCTTCAATACCTATACAGTACTCCCCTTCCAATACTCTCTTTTTTTTAAGGGTGCTAGGGTTCCATACACAAAGAATTCCACCCGACATACCTTCTGCATTTTTTGCTACCCAGTCAACCTCATCTATTCCCCACACTGATCTGCAATCTCTTTTGTCAATCATTCCCATTTTGGTTTCCTGTATTGCTAAAAAATCTATTTTTTCCTTCCTCACTAACTCTCTAATCTGTCTCCTCTTTTCGCAACCTCCCAACCCTCTAATATTGTAAGATAAAATATTCATTGAATGTCCCCACATACCTTCTTATCCGAACTTGCTGCCTTGGCTTTTCTGTCTCTGTTCTCCATTTCTTCCAAATTCTTGATCATCACTTCCTCATTCTCGGCTATCACTCCCAATTGTTTAGCAAAGTCCCACAGATCTTTTGCAATTTTTCGGCTTGGTTGTGTCTTCAGTAGTCTATTACAGTTTTCTATGCTGCTGTCTCCAATTGATCCACCTACAACTGAGTTACTTGTGCCCGGTAAGAATTCAGGGATTACCTCTCCCTTGGTTTCCCGAGAGTTGGATCTGCCTCTTCCTCTTTTCTTTTGGTGAAATTGCCCCAACTTTGTTGTTTTCTGGTATACAATACTACATGATTTGGCCCTTTTTCTTCTTCTCTATTTGTCCCTTTGAGTCGTTCTTCCCATCCATTCTTTCTCGCTACCTTCTTCACTTTCAAACCCTTTCCAGAATGTGTTGCTGTTTTTGGCTTTGCTCTTTAGATCTTCCTTTTGTTTTTTCTCCGGCATCACTTCCTCTCTCGACCCATTCTCTTCCCTTGGCTCTGCCCCAACCTAGCTGTTGGCTGATTTCTCCTCACAAGCCCGTGCTACTCCTTTGCCATTGGGCCATTTGAGACAAAGGCCCGTCCTCCAATTGCTGTGCTCGGCTCCCTGGCCCACATACTCCTTGTTTGCTTCTTCACTTTCTATTATTTGGCTGTCAATTTTTGAATTCAAACCACCCCCATGCAGTCCATCCTTTCTGCTATCTACTATCCCATCCGTTTTTACTCCATCATCAATGCTGTCTGCCACTCCTTCCACGGTTTCTACATCTTTGAGTAAAGATTGGGAGTTTCCATACCCTTCATTAATTCCACCTGCAGAGAAGCTGCGTTTGTCAGAAGCCAGCTCGACCTCACTATCTACAAGGATGGCGCCTCCTTTGGCTTCCCTTCTGCACCGGCATGACTTCCGTCCGTTGTCTTCTTCACCGTTAATCAGCTCCCTCTGCTTCTGCGTTTTGTCCTCCTCTACATCCTGCTGGTTATTCCCATAATCACCACTACTAAGTGACCATGAGTCTTCATGCTCTGATTCGCTTAGGAAATTTGGCATAAAATCTTGTCTTAAGGAGAACAAGCTGTTTGTTAGTTCCTCTTCTGTGAATTTCAGAGTATATAGATCTCCATTGACTTTAACTGCTTTTTGAACTGATATTGGATCCATACACTCTGTGGAGATGAGGAATCTAGCTATATCAAACCTTCTCTTCTTGCTTGTGTTATCATCAAGACATATAAA